TCCTCTCTCTCTCATATTTTCTCTCCCATTTTCTCTTTCTGCCACGTGTAGTTCAGTCGGTCGAGAGCGTAGTATCACTAGAAATTAATTTGAACTTGAATCCTTACAACGGAAAAAAAGAATAAAATCTATTATACCAAGCATGAGATTATTGCACATCATACGAGAGACAGATTTTACACTCTCTCGACCAGACTGAGATTATAAATCAATTAATAGAAATCACCATAAATAGGACTAAAACATAGTGAAAAGTACCAAAATAAGACTTTCATATTTTTTTTTTCCCCGAAATAAGACTTTGCACTGTGGTAATGTGACAGTGTACATGTGCACATTACTATACTTTTTTTTGGTAATGTATGTGACCATGTTTGGTAATGTAAGTCCTATTTCGGGAATAAAAACATGAAAGTCCTATTTTGTTATATTTTTAATGTTTTAGTCCTACTTTGATATTTCTCCATTCAATTTAATTTTTCCCAAACTACTAAATACTAATTGGGTCAATACGGGAGGCTCTAGGTTTCCATTATAGGCAAATTTTATGGTAGACCTACGGTTGGCCTACATATAATGGAAATAAGCAAATCAAAACCTTGATTAGCATTTATTTTAATTAAAAATAAAAAATAATTTTTTGTATGAGAAGAGGTACAAAAATAATATATACATCCAAGATGTACCATAGAAAGAGTCTCCATGTAACCCTTTTTTCTCTCCCTCTCTCTCTTTCTCTCCCTCTCTCTCTCATATTTTTTTTCTCTCTCTCACACACATATTCTCTCTCGGTGAAATACCCTATAAGTATCACTCTCATGTGGTCATCATCTCCATCACTCTCACATAATATCTCTTTCTCTTCTCTCCTATCTCTCTCTTTTTCTTTTCAAGAAAAAAAAGAAAAAAAAGATGAGATTTTTATCATCATAAATGGAACCCAGATTTTCTTTTTTGAGTTCCCATGGAAGATTGAGTGAGAAGATCCCAGCCGTTCTTTGCAGGTGCATCATCATCAAGATTCACATCAAACTAATTAGGGTTTGGCATGAGAATCTTGATGATGCTGCAGCAGCCATGGATGGCTTCTCTTTTTATTATTGCTCAAATCTCAGCCGTTGATCAGATCTTGTTTGGGAAGCCGTAGCCGTCAGATCAGTTCTTTGGTTCTTCATCCCTTTTTGGTTCTCATTAAGGTGAGAAAACTAATAAATTCATAATAATTAATAACAATTAATAATAATATCTCATCAAGGAAAAAAAGTATGTGTTGTGGGTATGAACATAAATGGTTATGGTCATATATGTCTACAATTGTTTTAAAGTTTTGATTTTTTTTTATTTTTTTGAGTTCATCAATATATTCTTTCTCTGGTTATTATGATGTTTAGGGTTTGCATTTTTCCGTTAGAAAATGGAATTAATTTGTATCTGTCAAAGGAATTTTGAAGAAGAAGACAGACAAAGAAAGGGTTTATATTAACATAATTAAGACTTTCTTGAATTGTATAAATATTCTCACCATGAGTAATATTATTGAAGGTTTCTTGAAATATATAAATATTCTGCAAAAAACACTCTTCTCTCTCTCCATTTTAGCACTTTTATTTTCTTGCCAAGGTAACACTGAAGATGGATCAAGAATTCAAACCAAATAGTGCAAAATCTTTGAGGAAGAAATTAAATACCCTAATAATTGGATTTGCATTTATGAATTGTAGTTGCTTGTTTACAAAATTCTACTAATTCTGGTTGTAAAATAATTACTCGTTTAATTTTGTTCGATACTCACGTAGAGACACTTATTGTCTATGAGATATTATTGGGTGTGAACTCCCATTTGTTTTTTTTCTTTTGTCATTTTAATTAATTTGTAATGGAATTAATTACAGGGTGAAATGGTGTGATACAACTAAAATTGGTTAAGACAGGGAATTTGTACATTTGCTTAGTTTTTAAGCAGTGCTTGAACATGTATGTGACATTAATTTCTTGAAATGCATGTTTATATTTCCTCAAAAGGATATTAGACATATTATTCCCTCTCCTATATATATTATGCATTTTAGCACTTATTTTTGATCCACACCCTTCATCCATCCGAGAAGGCATGTTACATCATAAATCAATGACATGACGTCATGAAAATGGAAACTTTATTTGAAGAAGAGTATGAAATTTGCATGATCAAAACTAATAATCCTTCTGTCCCAAAATAAAGCTCTGATTTGTGATGTTTAAGTAAAATTATTTTTGAATTAAACCAATAAAAGTAAAAAAGGTGTAAGATAAAAAATAAAAATTATACATTAAACAATTATACGGAGTATAAAAAGTTCTACAAAAATAAGTGATGACATAGTTATTTATTTTATCAAATGATCAATGATGTATAAAGAAAATATACTTAAATTGACCTATAAATAGCAAGTAGAATTTTTTTAAGGACAGATGGAATGTTTTATTTGCTAGATTTTGAATTCGATCGAGTTTATATATATACTTTGTAATTTAATTGAATAATATACTTCTTACGCTCGTACAAAAGAAAAAGGTTACGATGAACTTCATTCCCAGCAGAACAGTCGATTAATTTTCTTTGAGACAAATAAAATAAACAATATTCATCTGTGACAACATCGTTATCAGGATTCGAAGCAAGGTAGCACTAATCTATCAATCCCTTTTTTTATCTTTTAAGCTACCATGACTTCTCATGCCTACCTACCATCAAATTAAAGGTGGAACGCCGACCCCGTCACCCCCATACCCTGACCCAACATAGTAACTAATGCAGGCGTAAATCATGATATAATTGTAGTCCGATTCACCGTACATGAAACGACATTAGATGAAATTTCCGTCACACTGCCATTGTCGCCAGATCTATTATTTTATCCCAAAATCTTGAACGTAATTACTGCTCGATCTGAAGACCAACTACGCTACCCGTGGGGACCGTCGAAAGAGGGGGGGTATATGATGCAGGTGGCCGTACAAAGAAAAACCTAATTAAGGAGTGGGGGCAAGAATGTCATCTGCACATGTGTACACTACCCATCCCTACCACCAGATCTTTGGTGCACAAACACAATATCTCTTGTTACCAGCTTTTCTGAGTTACCCACGATTTTCTTTTTCTTGTCTTTTCAAACTTTTCACATCATCAGGTAATTCATTGCCCAGCTAATTTTTTTAGGCAGCAATTAATTTAATTAATTGCAGTAATCTCTCTCAAATTAATTCTATTACTCCCTCCGTCCTAAAATTAATTTCCCAGTTTGACTTTTGCAGTCAAATTTTTTAAACTTTGATCGTATATTAAGGAAAAAATGCATTGAATTTTCATATAAATTTATTACCAATAGATTCATTTTGGAATATAGTTTTGAAATATATAATTTTTATAAAATATATTTATATAAAAATCGAGATATTGATGATCAAAGTGTCGCATTGGAGACCGTGAAAAGTCAAATGGGAAGTTAATTTTAGGACGGAGGGAGTATTAAGACATATACTGCATCTTTGACTAGTAGTAATAATTAAATCCATTAATCAGCCAGCTCAGGTTAATAATGTTGTGACTTCCCTTGTCACCCCTTTTTTACGGAATACTCCCTTCGTCCGAAAATAATCTTCCCACTTTCTTTTTTGGTCTGTCCTGAAATATTCTTTCATTTCCTTTTCCAGTATATTTTTTAAGGATAAATTTCAATAATACCCTTTTATATTATCGCTAATCTACTTTTTTATTGTTTTTTTGATATGAAAAAGAAATTTAAAAGTTTATAGTATGTGTACTTTTGGAAATTTGACTTTTTTTTACTACTTAATAAGCGTGTCAAGTCAGCACGGGTATAACATTTCCGGAGGGAGTGAGTAATTTTTACACGCTAACACACACTAATTCCCATGCACCGTCTTTGAAACAATCTCACATCTTGGTTTTTTAAAAGACAGAAAAAAGGAAAATTTTTGGAGTGAAATTTATTAATATTAAAAAAAGAATGAATGATATATTGATATCCACATTTATTTAAAAAGAGTAGAAAAATGTAAAATTGTTTTCTAAACATCCCGGAAAGAAAAATATGAAGTTATTTGAAAGATAAATTTGACCGAAAGAACATTGTCTCGGTCAAATTTATTAAATTAACGAGCAATTAGTATGCAGTGAGTGAATGTTTAACTTTTATTTGATGAAAAACTCACTTGTCATTGGTGAACATATAAAAGTCTTCGTTAAGAAACAGTTGTACCTTCACATACAATACAATAAATACCTCGCTCCCTTTTAATTGAGACTTTTTTGGGGAAAAGTATTTTAAAAAAACAGTGTTAGAAATTTCAGGGGGTATAATAAAATGTGTTCCAATTTAAACTTCTCATATTTTTTTTTCAGGGAGTTCAATAAAATGTGAAATTATGTACTTAAAATTTTAACATACTTGATATTTCCTCCCAATGCATTTTCATAAAGATCATTATTAGCGCTTCATAATCAGTCACTCCAAATCAATAGTCACTCAGTGCGGCTGCACTCACCATCTCACTTCACACTTGTAGTGTCTCACTTCCGTAACAATGATTCAGAGATGTTTTTTCTAGCATATTCTTGAGCTTTTTTAAAATACACATGTTTCACATCGTCCTCGCTTGGACAATTAAGTGACATCGCCATTGTAACCCACTCAGGATAGATACCATCAGCCGTGTAATTACAAAAATTGTACTTTGTATCATTCGCAATAAACGACACAGTAGCTCCAACTCTGTTAACGATCTTGTCAAAAACCGAAGACTAATCAAGAACATTTAAATCAATACTTGATCGACAAACTCCAAATAACACATGGCATATCCAAAGATCATGTGACGTCACTACTCCAAGCACCAACATCAGGTGAGTATGATCATCCCGTTGATATTGACCGCACCAAGCCGTTGGGCAATTCTCCCACTTCAAGTGCATAGAGTCAATGCTATCAAGTATTACTGAAAATCCATGCACTTTCTTATGAACATCGTATATTGTTTAAATTGTCGATCATTCCATGACAGTTTCTGCAAATACTTTTTACCATATAGTACCATGACACCTTCAATATTGTACTCCGTATAAATTAATATTTTACACTAAAATATTAAAACAAAAATTGAGAAAAAATTAAAATGTTCTAATCGAAAATAAGAGTGCATACCTTTACAAAATTTGTAAAGTGTATCTTGACTAGCTTTTTGAACATCTTCAAATATTCATCTGAACTATTAGATCTTGTACCGCAAGTGAGTTGCCAAATTACGGATGTACACTTTTACAAATGTGTAAATCTGAGTTTACCTCTGGCATTGTATTTTTCTTGGAAATACTATGATTGGCCGGGTTCGCAAGCCGAGGGCTATTCTACAAAAGAGACGTCGGCTCATCCGAAAACATCGGGCGAAAACCAAGTCGTTATACGTTGGCTCAGTACAAAAATAATCTTCTATAAGACGCTAGCTTGTTCGCGGCTGCACGATCTTGATTGATTTGGATTAGTCTTTTAATGATCATTTCATTCTGCCTAAGACTCGCAATAATTATACGTGAAGTTTACACCGCTTCTATGAAAATATTCGTCTTGACTAGACAAAACGAAAGAAAGGGACTGCAAAAAAAAATTATCTTTTGAAGTGTATTGAAAAATTTGAATTTTGTGACTAGAATTATAAAGAAATGAGAGAGAGAAATTAGAAGGTAATGAAGCATCATGCGACTCTCTCCGTGGAGCATCATGCCCAGCCTAACGGCATAATTAATCAATCTACATACATTTGTTATTGTAACAAAATAAGCTTTCTGATGAGTTCAATAAGAGGAAAGTTGGTACCGTCTTCACTCATGATTAGAGCTCGTCCGTCGGGTCGGGTCCGAGTTCGATCACCTGGGGTTCAGGTTACCTCGCGTTCGGGCAAGTTCGGATTCGGATTGAGAGCTACATGTTCATGACCCAATGTCATCGGGTTCGGGTCGACCCAACGGGTTATGCCTTTCATTTATTTTTTGAAATTTTAAGTAATTTTTATGATCGGTTGACAATATTACGAATAAAAAAACTAAATATGCAGAATTTTTTTTTTTAAAAAAAGTAAGATAGTTACGCGACATCATTAAATTTTTGTATGAAAATATAAATTTGTACATTAAAAACGAGTAGCAATCAAAGAAATATAATTAAAATCTTATTTTTATAGCATTATATTACATATTAAAACATATAATTTTGAAAACTTTTTACATTAGCAGGTCGGTCAGGGCGGGTTGGGGTTCGGTCAGGTTTGACCCATTTTTAACGGGTAATTTCAGGTTCAGTCAGCAAAACCCTTGTTCAAAACCCAGTTCTTTCGGGTCGGGTCTCGGGTCAAAAACAGGTCGGAACATTTTTTGCCAGGTCTACTCATGATAAAAAACGAAACAATAATGCTACTTACACATTACTTGGTATACACTATGAGATTGTACCAGCGTTTTGATGTCTTACCCCCGCCACAAGATGTAAGTGCAATTGCAGAATTTCGTACTAATATTTTGTACTAGTGTGAAAAACAAAGTGCTATTACAACTCTTTAGTGTATAACTTAGTGTACACCGAGTGGTTAGTGGTGTTTCACTAGCATGGTTGAAAACGAAATACCAATGATGTGTGCACAATATAACAATATTAACCCCAACATTTGACATTACACAATGATTTATGTCTTGGAATTTGACATGCACATTCTATAGCACTAAAAATATTGGCATAAGCCATAATGCCTATGCAAACTTTGTTAGATTGAATACAAAGTTTAATCGATATAACCCCCTATAGAGTGCAATGATAACCCAAAATAAATCACAGGTATAAAATCAATCAAATCCATATTTGGGTTAGAGTAATAATACTCCCTGCACAAAAAAAGTACTCAGTATATAATACTTCCTCCCATTCAGAGCATTCTTTTAACTTTTTTTTTCCCAATCAAGGTGGATAAATCTCTTTCACAAAAAAAAAGCGGAATAAATTGAGTTGCATATTAACACAACAAAATACAATAAATTTTGGTGTGCATAAACATTTTCCTATAATATTACATTATTACTTTTTTTTTTACAAACCGAAAGTATGCAAATACAATACCACACATTATTAGATTCAATTTGAAATGTAACTTGAAATGTTATACTATTTTTTTTAACATTTAGTTATATACAAATATAACTTTTGAGAGTCAAAATTACATTTTGATCGTGAAAAATCCAACTAGCCCAAAGCCGAAGTTGAAAAGTTAAATTATATAAACAAGTAGCTTTTAATTTTGTAATTATTTGTGATACAACTTCATGGATTTGGAATGATGGCAAATATAAACCAAGGTCCTGTTTGGTACACGAAATTCAAACTATGAAATTGGAATTGAGAATTTCAATTCTGGTGTTTGGTAGCACAAAATGTATGTGAATTTGGAATTGATAGTGCAAAAAATGAATTGAAATTGGTGAATCCAATTCTATCGAATTCAATTCTAATTCAATTCCAATTTCATCAATTCCATATACCAAACGGATTCTAATGCTCTACTAGTGATAGAGCCCGTATTAATTAAATAACTTAACCCAAATATAAGTTTTAATGGCATTCCCTATTCCACACGCAAAACAATCATCGCTGCATTAACAATACTCCAACCATTTTGTAATGAAGGAAGATCTTTTTAATATTCATAGTCTTTAATTTAAAAAATAAAAAAAATACTCCCTTCGTCTAAGAAAGACATTCGTGATGCAGGTTACAATGCTTGACTCAACAACAACAACAACAACATCCCAGTTGAATCCCACTACAGTAGGGTCTGGGTGTACGCAGACCTTGCCCCTACTCAGAAGTAGGGAGGCTGTTTCCAAGAGACCCCCGACTCTACATGCACAAAAATATGGAAGGGAACACAATATAACACAGATAAAGCACCAAGTACAAGCAACAAGTACAAGCAATAGCAAAAGATTCCAAACAAACACAACACACTACAAACAACCTCTACAGCACCGAGCTCCTATCCAGCTACTCTAATCCTAGTTCTCCAAAGGTTCCTATCTAAGGCCATATCCTCAGTCAGGATGAGAAGTCCTAAATCCTGCCTAATCACCTCCTTCAAATTCTTCCTAGGTCTACCCCTTCCCCTACTTCCCCCGATAATCGTAATCCTCTCGCATCTCCGTACAGGAGCGTTAGCATCCCGCCGTCTCACATGGCCAAACCATCTCAACCTCGCTTCCCGCAACTTATCTTCCACCGGCGCCATGCCTACCTGATGTCGGATAACTTCGTTCGAAATCCTATCCAACCTTGTCTTTCCACACATCCATCTTAACATCCGCATCTCCGCCGCATGCAGACGGCGCAATGCTTGACTCAAGTTACTTCCAATTCAATTTATATATATTTAAAAACTACTCCCTCCGTCCGGAAATAATCTTCCCACTCTACTCTTTTTTCCGTCCGGAATTAATCTTCCCATTCTACGTTTTTATTCCCAATCTTCCAAAAATACCCTTCCTTTCCTCCTTTTCTCATCCGACCCTTTTTTCTCGGCTGGCCATCCCCCTCCCCTTTCTTCTCTCCTTATCCTCTCTCTCTCTCTCTCTCTCTTCCCCCCTCCCCTTCTTTTTCTTTTCCGATCTCCTGGTTTTGTTCCTCTTCTTCATGTCTTCTTCCACTCCCGTTTCTTTTCTCTCTCTCTCTCTTCTCCCATCCTCTTCGTCTTCTTCTTCTTCTCATCCTCAACCTTGTTTTTTTCTTTCCTCCTCCCTCAGATCTACGCCTTCTCCCCCCTTTTTCTTCTTTTTCTTCTAGATTTGTGTTAGATGAGTGGGGCTGGCGATGATAGTAGAGCAGACGGCGGCGGTGGAAGCTAGATCTGGTAGATCTGTGGGGCTAGCGGTGATAGTAGATCCGTGGGTTTTTCTTCTTCTTCTTTCCGCCTCCCTCGGGTTTTTCTTTATTTTCTTTATTTATTCTGGTGTGGGCTGAAAGAGATGGTGAGGTTAGCGACGGCGATGATGCAATTGTCACCGGTGGGGGCTGAGCCAGCAGTGTGTGGTGGATCGGCAGAGGTGGCTGGGGCAGCGGTGGGCTGCGGCAGCGATGGACTGGGGCGGCGGTGGGCTAGGGCAGAGATGCCAAAATAAATTTGGCCGGCGCTGGGACTGCGGTGGCCGTGGACTAGCGGTGGGCTGGGGTGTACTGCTGGGGCATAACAAAAATATTGGAGGGCATATTGGACATTTTAATACCAAAATCAACACCCACTAAAAAGAAGGAAAAGTCAAACCGGGAAGTTTATTCCCGGACGGAGGGAGTAGCTCAAAAGCTCTACAAAACAAGAGAAGATCAGCCTATATTAGTTTATCAATTTTCATGAAAATATCCTAAGAAAGTGTTCAAAGTCTGACTCGGTGGATACCAAACATGAGATTCTTTTTAGGGCAGAAGGAGTACCTTAGTAACGATTGCATTTCATCTTTTGCAGTTCTAGTAACTAGATTCGCCGCTATAGCAAAGGAGGCCTTGGACTTGAGGTAAGAATAGTTAACGAAAACGACTATAGTAAATAGATAAAAAGTCAAGTAGCTTATGAACCTTGATTAAATGCAAAGAGCTTTTGGGATTCAGTCACACTTGAGGAAGAGAGTTTAGGAGCTTCAGCTGGTGCGCAAACCTTGACAAATCAAATAAATCTCTCTTGAACTTGGCCTTGTTGCTTTTGGTCTCAGCCATGATGTCTTTCTAAACAGAGGTTTGCATATCTGACCGATTTCTATGTAGAAACCAAAAACAAAAACAAAAAAAGTCATTTAAGGAATGGTTTTGTAACAAATATTCCCCTTTCGGTTCAACGTGTACTATGTCATTGCTACTTTTGGTCAGGGGAATTCATTTTTTCTCTACTTTTGGTGTGAGGCTATGAATTCGTTCCGGACTTTGTGGTCCAAAATTGGAAAGTTTTAGGATTTTGTAAGAAATGGAGAATGGTTTTGCATGAGAAAGACAGGTGGATTACCTTTGGTGTCTTCACTCTCCAAGAGCTTAATGACAAGATGACCACCGGGTTGTAATGCGCCATTATTCTCCGAGACGTCATCATCCACTTGAGCATTGTAACTTGGGGAAGGTAGGATATTTCTTCCAACAGCCAAATCAAGCGCCCGGTGTCCCAGTTCAGCAGATAGAACTGAATCTCTGGTTGTTATTCCAGACACTTGTGGGCACATGTCTGAAAGTATGACAGAGAACCCCTTTTGCTGCAAAATAGCAAGTGAAAAGTATAAGCTAGAAAAAACCTACATGTTTTTTTAGGTTCGGCATTGTCTAGTTTCGTGTGAGTTTGGGGGTTTGATTCTTATGGGAACTTTTTGGTTTGGTTTAATTTGGTTTTAATTGGTTTTGCATAAATATAATTTGCGAAAAACACTACCAACCGAAAACCAAATAACATATGAAAGGACCGCACTAGGCTCAGATAACTTGACACAGACTATAAGGCAGAGAAAAGAAAAACCTATTGGAAGTTGAACTAAAACATGAACAAGTTACAACTACATCTTATTGAGGCCTTGACTCGTTGTAGCATTGAACAAGCGTCAAGGGCATGATCTCTCATATCCATCTAGGTGTGTACTTAATACCTAAAATCATATTGATACTTTGTAAGAGTGGTCAATGTCATCATAAACTGAATGAAACTTTTAAAGGTCTTTGGAAGAGCACACAAACTTACGTGAGATCACCTTCTTCTAGTTCTTCCTCTACACCTATTCACGTCCACTATGGCAAGCCTCTCACACCTCTTATTTAAGAATATATTCTCAATAGGATTCTGAAGTCATTAATCATGTCTAATCACCTCCTTCCAACTCTACATAGGTCTATCTCTACCGCTTCTCACATCCACTATTGCAAGCCTTTCGCATCTCCTCACTCGGACTAAATATCTTATATAGCCATCCTTCTCTCTTAAGCATTCCGATTTGGGACTCTAATGGTTCTATTTGTTGGAAGTGTTCTAAAAAGACTAAGTGGTCCCTAGGCAGTAGCCTAGCCTCTAGACACACTTCGGTGGGGACTAATTGCGACCTGAGAGGTATTAAGGGAGGCCTGGAACGCGTGGGCCAAGATGAGGCTAGGAGGGGATTTTCAGAACTGTTGTTAGATGTTAAAACTTGTAATTTTGGACAAATATCACTAACGAAAAATAGGGCAAAAGTGAATAGCAAAAGTACTTCGTACTGTATTAAAAGAACAAATGGCCTAATAGTACAAACTACAAAACCTTTTGAAATATGTTCCAACAAAAACCTGAGGAGACAGATCCCTAATTTGGTTCTTGGGCAATTTCATAACATCAGCACAAACAGTTTGAACCCTTGAATCGCAGTGCATAGCTGGAACCTTAACTTTCTGCTCTGCATCATATCACAATTACTCAAATCATTCTCATGCGTTAAGCCAACACATGAGAGACAACATATAATATGACTACAACAACAGCAATAAACCCTGAAAAAATGTACAAAAAGTAGTGTCTGGAGAAGGTATATGTACACAGACCTTACCCCTACTATGAAGTAGATAGGCTGTTTCCAAGAGATTTGGACAGAAGAACGAACAAAGATAACAACATATAATATGACTTTTCAATTAGATGCAACAGATTGATGGAGCAAAAAACATAGCAATCTGATTTTTCAAAACCCAACCTTAATATCGATCCCAATAACAGCGCCATTGTTTTTCAATGAACCCAAACTCTGGCACGCCACCTGCATCACAAAAACTCAATCGACACAACTCTTGATTCAATAAAATCAACCCTAAAATGAAAAAAACAGGCACATTCAAGGTTGCAAGCATGAGTATCGATGGAAAAATGAAATACTGATGAAAATATTGAGAATTTCAATTAGGGTTGTGAATTAAGTATGGTAAAAATAGGTGTTAGGTCTAACTCGCCCCAAAAGAGCTCTCAAGAGATGAATACTTATTGATGGGTTCATTGATTCATATTTAGCCAATGTAGGATAATTCCAACACCCCCTCATGGCCAGCACCTAAAGGTTCGTATCCATTGTAGGGTTTTCATAGGATCATGGCTATGGATCAGGTCATATAGCTAGATTGTATGGATCTGATAATGCCAAGGACCAAGTAAAGGTTCTATACTCTCTAACAAACTAAACAATTCATCATCTACTCACGTCTCCGTGGGTCAAAAGAATGGTTCATAACTTGATCCATTCGGTTCATTTAACGCCCTAATTTCAATCAATATATTTCAGAATCAAAATCAGACATCGAAAAATGGCGGGAAATTGGATAGACATTGGAATCCAACACCGTGTAGAACACAATCATAGATACAGTCATACAGATATACACACACCTGAAGCCAAGCACCAGGAGCACAACCTAGATCAAGAACGGAGGAACCAGGGGTTATGAGTTTATACTGCTTCTGCATCTGCAACAGCTGCTCTTTCACCAAAACAAAAACGGAGTAGATTGTAATCCTATTATTACATTATTATGGGGAAAAACGAAGAAGGAAATCGATTTGAGGGCATAAAAGGAAATGGATGCAGAGAAACCTTGAAGGCCGAGCGAGCGACATAACCCAGGCGCTGAGCTTCCCTGTAAAAGAAATCCGGCGTACCGGCTCCGCCGCCGCCCATCGACCTCCTCCTCCTCCAAATTGCAGAGTTAATCGGAGATTTGAATTAGTTTTGAGTCCAACCGAATTTGAATTCACTACTGGACCGGATTTTGGAGGTAAGGTATGGCCTATGGTAAGAAATAACATTGGACCCAAAAGTTAATCCGATAATCAGAGCCCAATAAATTATCTCCCGGGAAAACGAGAACAAAAATGTACTAGCACCTCTATTTCAGTCTATTTGTCTAATTTGACTTTAAATTTTAATTAAACAAAAATGTACTAGTATGAACTCTAAACTCGGATTAAACAAAAATCGTAATGTATAGAGTATATTAGTACTCCGTTTATTAGAATTATTTTGTTAAAAACTTTCAAAATTTTTATTTTGTCGTATCAATATGTATTACAAATTGGGACTAATTGAAACTCAAAATTCGTTTTTTTGTAAAAAATCCAAACTGAAGAAATAAACTAAGATTGAGCAAATTTCACTATCGAGAAATTTACCTAAATAGGACTAAAACATAATGACTTTCCCAATATAGGACCATATGTTTTTATTTCCTAATGTAGAACCTTTGGTCATTAAATATCCATCATTACTGGACATTGTTCCTCCCACTAGGTCATTATTAAGTCCTATTTAGGGAATAAAAAAGTTTAAGTCCTACATTAGGAAAGTCATTATGTTTTAGTCCTATTTAGTGCAAATTTCACAATCTTATATAAAAGTTTCTTAATATATGAAAATTGCTATAATACTTCCTTTTCATTTTTTAATTAATTTTAGATATGTACAACAATATTATAACTAATATAAAAATAAATATGTACAACTTTTTTTTTTTAAAAAAAGGTAACATAACTATTCAAGATCATTAAACACTCATTTGAAAAAATAAATTTATTTACTAAAAAATGTAAAGAAAAAAAAAGTAATACTATAAACTTGTTATTTTTATCACTTAGTTGTATCCACCCAATTTATATTAAAAAATCATCTTTATCGTTAACTAAATAAAAAAGAATAGAAAGAGGTTAGGTGAAGGGCAAAGTTGTCCATTCATTATTAAATGGAATGGATATAGCCAATTGTGGATTTAGCATTACCTTAAAATTTATATATTTAAAAACAAGATAAAAATCCTACAAAATAAAAAAAAATGATGTGATAATATTCAGGGCCGGCTATACCCATGGGCAGGGTGGTCCTATGTACAGGGCCCATTTTTAGAGGGGGCCCCATGTATTTATATATAAAATATATGTATATGTATTTATTTATTTAATAAACTCTAAAAAAGGAACACTAACGTCGGAGGATTAAAAATTAGATTGCATTGTACGTATTTAGAATTTATTTGATTTAAGAATACTAATATAATTTTGTGTATGGATTTGATTATTATTTGAAGTTATGAATTTGACATTTTACTATTTTTATTACTATAATGCTCTCAAGAATGCTACAAGAACTTCACAAATTTTTAGTTTGCTATCAAAGTATGCACTTATAAATTTATAAGACTATGAATTTCACATTTTATTATTTTTATTCTTTTAATATATTTATTGTTAAATAAATTAATTCATAAATGTTATTTCATTATGACACAATAACCTTTTTTCTCTGTATCGTCCAGGGCCCCTAATTTCTCGGAGACGGCCCTGATAATATTGCAGAGTTTTTTGTACCACTTATCTCTAAACTTTTCAAAAGCTGCATGGATTTCAATCTCCCCAAATTTTAAAAATTGCACCAATCATCCTTGAGATTTTGAAAATGTTGCATCAATAATACCCCTGTATCATATTTGGCAGTGCGTTAATCGCACGCTCATCTAGTACAAGTATAAGTTCATCTAAAGTTATATTATTAAAAGTACGGAGTAATAAAAATGAGGAAAAAATATCTCAAATAATCTCGCCTTTTTGCGCTCTTCCAAAAATAGTTCCATTTTTCAATCTCACGAAAAATGATTTCACATTTTCTCATGTGTGCAAGTTTTAGGTTGTCGTTAGAATGCTAACGGTTACTTAACAAAATTTTCAGAATTTTTTTTCACAAATAAATGAAAGGTGGGATTATTTTAGGTAATTCTATTTTTTCCTTTTTTTAATTTCAGACTTTAAATTTAAATATATTTTTAAAATGTTTTTATATATAAATAACACAAAATTTAAGTGTTTTCTTTAGAGTGAAAATAGTTATTTTTTTCAATAATTGATAATATGGTAATAATACTTTTTTTTCCCAAAATAATAATTTGAAAGTTATGAAATTGCACAATAAATTATTCTGCACTAATTATTTTTATAACTCACTACAACATTTTTGGATTACAATTTCTTTCTTGAGCGATACTCTGAATTATTTTTCGATATTCCAATACTATATTTTTTCCCAAAACAGAATACAAAATTTGTAAATAGATATATTGTTTTAAAAAAAAACTGAGACAAATCTTTAACAAGACTGTACTGTTATATTTTTAAGAAACATATATTTAAAATTTAAAAATAATAAAAGAAAAAAGTAGATTTGCCTAAAATAATTCCACCTTTCATTTATTTGTGAAAAACAGGCATTTTTTAAAAATTTCATTAAGCTATCGTTAACTTCTTGGCAACAATCCAAAACTCGCACACATGCAGCAAGACAAGAGATAAAGATGTATGGGAAAAACGAAGAGATACGAAGGACGTACTCCTCGTCTACTCCGTATAGTATATTCCCGGGAATTGAACTCAAAAAGATTCTCTTAAAATTAGGGTCATGTCCTTTTGGATCTCTGAATATATTGTGCAAAAATGTTTAATTAGGCTTAGCTGGTTGGTCAACAACAGGCTACCGCTTTAAAAGCTAAAATAGTCCGTCGGTCAATTAATGAGTTTAAATTTATCTTTAATCACAATTATATTTAATTTAATTTATTTGAATACCTAGTAATATAAAATTAAAATAAATTACATCTTTCAAATGCAAGACTTCCTAATACTCGGTAGTCGCTTTTCGTCCCAATTTAGATCGTCTGTTATTATTTACGAGATTTGATTCAATTTATTTTCAATTCGTTTTATTTGAAAATTGTTTTAGAAATAAAAAAAATAGAATTTATGCATTTAAAAATAACATAAAAAACTTTTCAAAATTAGAGTTGACAAAACTATTATTTTATCAAATGAGTAAAGAAAATAGGTAGAGAATGTGGTTAAAGTTTAGTCATGTGTCAAGTAAAACAAATAACTTAAATTGGAACAGAGAGAGTATCATCTCTTAGGGGGTATTAATACTGTGAAATTACTTCAATTTGGTTTTGTGTTGGTATTTTAAATTTTTTCAGCATTATAAGTGTTATTTTGGTAAAAGGTACTTTAAAAATCTATATTTAGCTATATATATGGAGCATGTCTAAATCCTGCGATTGATATCTCTCAAATTTATTATGAGATCATATCAAACATATCCATTTGGATACTGTGATATCAAGAAATAAAAAATCTGAACTTTGCTTAGACTTAAATTCAACAAATATTTACAAAAAGGTAATATAGTAATACCAAGAACACGAATATAAGACTTTTATGTTTTTATTCAAAATAGAACGCATAATGTCATGCAATAACACATGCTAATAACGTCGCTCATGTTTTGGCTCGCTCGTTCTATAAATAACAAGACTAAGCCAACATTTGACGAATTAATTTGATTGATCTTTACTTTAAAGCTAAAAAAAAGACATGCAATAATATAAATGTAATATAAAATATCATTATGAAATATATATAAATATACAGTATCACATTGTAATAATACAATATTGTTACTTTGTGCATGGACTGCGTCTACAAAGTTTTTCATCCGTCTCTGAGTATTTATCAATTTTTGATTTTTTTAAGTCAAAATTGGTAAATTTTGACCTCAAATTAAGTAAATTAAAATGATATTAGATATTGATACAAAAATAGCTTTTAAGATTTACTCCCTCCGTCCCAATTTAAATCGCATATTTTGACTTTTGGGCATATTTAAAGAAAATAAAAAATAGAGTTGATTTTTCGAAATTGACATTACTTTTTAGGAGGGGTGATGATGAATGAGAAGATAAGGTGAAGAAGTGTGACTTACTTTAGGGATAGTTTAGGTATTTTATTTTTAATAGTTTACAAAAACAACTAACATGCAACTTATTTTGGGACGGAGTATAAAAAATATATTTTATTTAATTATAGATTAAAAATTAAAAATTATTAATCTAAAAAAATCAAAATTGAACAAATACAGGTAGTACTCCGTATAAGGCTAGCATTTTGTGATTTGTGAAGATAATTACTAAAAATAAAGTAACAAATGATACGTAGCGTGCATATGCAAGTTTTGGTTACAAACGTAAGGCCTATGCCAAGATCTAACCGACCACTCTCTCTTTTGTTGTTTTTTGGTTACAAAAGTAAGAAATGTTTTTTTTCAAGTTGGTGTCATCAATTAAAATTTTAAATCTTTACAAAAAAAACTTGAAATTTTAAAAATACAGAAATAACTTATTTGTGACACAAACAAAATGAGTTTGTACGAAAATAATTTCGAGCAGAAACAAAATAGCTTATTTTGAAATACGTAATTCACCATTCCGTCAATTTTTTCATCACGAGAATAAGAGTAATAATTAAAATCTCACAATAGTTTAATTGTTTCACATAACATTTAAAAGTAAAAGTAAAATCATTGAAGGTAAGATAATTTGAGATAATTTTTCTTTATCTTTAATTACTTTGTACGTATTTCCGTCCATATTCAATGTTAGACTTTTCTATAAAGAAAATTCAAACTTTGACTAACGTTTTAAAATTTGATACTTTAATGAAAATATATCTAAACAAAGATTATTTGTTCTAAAAGTATAGCCACGTAATTTAATTTTAATTGATTTAACTAAGGAAATTAAAACTGAAAAAAATACCAGCAAGAGATAATAAAATTATTTAATTGTTTGGGAAAAATCTTGTCCGGTTTGGCCATGTTGTGAAGCAACAGCTTATCCTTCTCACATGGTGTAACGTGTAAGCTTTGCTATTTTACACTTATCTCTGCAAATAAAATAAAATAGAATAAATAAAATATCCATAAAACAAAAAAAAAAATAGAATAAATTAAAATTATTCCTCTCCCGTGCTTAAATAAAAATCATTTTATTATTCAAATGTCACGGTAACTTTTATTTACTTACACTGTAGACATTTTCATTGCTCATTTGATAAAAAATATAGTCACGACACATTCTATTTTGTAGAACTTTTTATACAATTTTTATATATGTAAATATATTTTTTCTAGCAATTTTATATAAAATGAATTCAAAAAAACGCTATGTATGGGTAGCTCTTGTTTGGACACTGGAGTAGTAACACATGCACATTAATAAAAATATTAAACCTTGAATTAAATTTTTTTTATATAGAATTACACTTATCCCCACACAACCCCATCTCTGTTTATTTATTTATATATTTGTATAAAAATAATGTTTTATTTTTTTAATATATATAATTTGGTCTTGCCTCGAAGCCATGTTAGCAATTACTTGGGTTATGGCCCATCGTGGCTAGAGTTGGACCAAATAGCCGAAAATAATACACTTGCAGAAATTTTAAAATAATGATAGGATATGGACTTGGGGCTATGTTTAAACATTAATGAATAATAAAAGAAAAATTCTTCCTTTTTCTTTCCTATGTAAATTTTACCAAACAATCAATTCGTGAATAAGGGGTTTAAGGAGTCATTTTGACCCAACCATTTGATGTGGTACACAACGTTTTTCCACTATAAGTCGATATTTCTTTTGGTGCGGTTCAATGGCATTGAACTCAATATAACAGCATGACCTGAGGTTTTTACGATACTTCGTTCATAAAATTGATTGTTTTCATCCCCATAACCTCCCCTAAGCCATCGTGTGCACCCTTCCTTTTAGCGGTTGGCTACAGTAACTAATGTAGCAAATCAACGAAGGGATGGGGAGGGCAAGTGAGCTGGGGGGTGCAGAGGGTAGAAACCATGCCATATGACATTGCGAGGTATATCAATGAACCGTGCCATATTTCTTTATATTTATAATTTACTTCTTCCATTTTTTTAAAAATATCTATTTCACTTTTTGTATACCAATAATATCTCTTAAAAGTATGAGTAACTTGCTGATGGTTTGTTCTTAGAATGTTGAAAATAAACCATAAAGATAATTAGACCATAGTTGGGACGGACCCCGCCATTAGATGTTCAAATTGTAGAGTATTTTTTATGAGCGACATTAAACGACCTAACCCAATATTAAAATATCTAAATCTAACTCGATAAATTAAAACTCAATCCAAGTCGGATAATTCGACATGCACAAAAGTAAATGTAAAATAATAGAGTAATTTAGATAATTTAATTTTTTTTACAAATCATGTAATTTGTATCCAATACTGTATCTGTTCAAATTATTTTTTTATTTACGATATTTGATTGAAATTACGTTTCATGATAAAGATCACATGTAAAATGTGAACCTTCTAACACTTTTAATGGATCAATATAGGAATTTTTTTTAGTATTTTTTTCAAATAACCCAATTAATTTTGATGTTTGTATAATAAAATTTATAAAATGAATGTAGACTTTGGAATTACAAAAAAATTTATTCTGGAACAAAAGGAGTTCATGTTATGCTTGTCATTGAATAATAAATACCGAGTAAACCTTTATTGACCTTCTAATTTTACAAAAAACAAATTTAAAATTAATAAGGAATATGCCAGTAAGCTTGTGAATTGAATAAACTCTTGAAGAAAAAAAAAAAGAGAACTACTTTAGGATATATAACAGTAAGCTTTATTCCTTTTGGGTTTCATTTACAACGGCCGGCAGACCACCACAGCACGGTGGAATGCCATGCACCAAATCAATGTGTGAGAAAAAGAAGGAAAAATAAATGTTCGAAAAAAAACAGAGAAACATATGAATCTTTCCTAAGAATTCTTATGTTCTGCAATTAATTAATTAATTACTTGACAACAATCATCAAATCAAATTCTTTACACATTTTCAGAAACCACCAGACACAAGCCAGACAACCCCTCAAGCTCTCTCTCTTTCCTCATCATCAGGCCTCCACGGCCGCCTGAACCGGTCCGGTGGCGGCGTGAACCGGCGGCAGCAGCGGCTTCCCGTGTTGTTTGGCCTGATGCTGGGACCAGTAGGAATGGGCCGCCAAAACCCGGTCCAGAAGCTCCTGTGGGACCGGCTCCCCTCTCCTCTGCTGGGGGGCAATGCTTGCTGTGTGGACTAATGTTTTCCACTTATCCTGCAAACAAGAAAAAAAAACAATCAATGTGTGATTAATTGATTAATTAATTACATTAGTTGGACATTAATTAGTGAAAAACAAAGTAAAATTGTACAGTTAAAAGCCTAGATATAGAAAATTTTCCATAAATTTTCTTCTTTTTTCCCCCAGATTTCAAAACACATGTCATATGGGTCTGTTTGGTATACAGAATTGACGGAATTGGAATTGAATTGGAATTGAAATTCCATGAAATTCAATTCCATAGAATTGAATTTTGTCAATTCCAATTCATTTTTTGCACTATCAATTCCAAATCCACATAATTTTTGTGCTACCAAACACCGGAATTGGAATTGAGGTCCTCAATTCCAATTCCATAGTTTGAATTCCATGTACCAAACGGAGCCTCAAAGTTATATTTGATCAGTTTATAGTACTCCCTCACGTCCCCCATAGATCTTCTCATTAGCACTTTTTTTGTCCCCCATAGATCTTCTCATTAGCACTTTTTATTTGTCCCCCATAGATCTTCTCATTACTTTTTTAAACATTTAAAATACCATAATTACCCTCACTTTACTTTACTTATTACACCTCACTCATCACCTTATTTGATACACTCCACCCATTTTCATTAAGGGTATTTTGGTAAACTTTTACACTTTTTAAACTTTCCTTAAAAACCATGTAAAGTTAAAACGAGAAGATCTTAGAAGGACAGAGGGGTAGTATTTTATAAAGCCTTAAACCACAAACCAAACTGCATGTGGTTGCCAAATTGGTTTTGGCAAGGACCCACTCTAGGTTGATAATCATGTGGATTACTGTGTATTATTTATCATTATTATAATTATTATAGTTATAGTTATAGTTGAGAGATCAAAAACCAACTCATGCAGTCCCCATATGTCTCTTCCTATACACAGTCATTCACAGCTGCCACACATATTTCACAAACTCTAATGTACAATAATTATAATAATATCAATAATATTTATAATAATAATAAAGTACTCTTTATTATAGATAAACCTAAACAAGCATGTTCACTTTTTAAACTTATTATCACTCATATGAGAGGGACATCTTTAAGCTGGCATATATAGATCTCAAAAGAGTAAATTCCATAAATGGTCTCTAATTGTAGGTATTTTTTTTCATATTTAGTCCCTATTTCTTAGATATTCCATGAATAGTCCTCAATTTTTGACAACTATTTCATAAGCGGTCCTTCCGGGACTATTTGTAGAAAAAATGTTGTCATATTTGGCCTAAAGGACTATTTATGGACTAATTTTTAAAAAATAGAGGACAATTTATGGAATATTTATGAATCAAGGACTAAATATGGAAAACCACCTATAATTAGGGACTATTTATGGAATTCACTCATCTCCAAAGAAAACGGAAGCAAAAACCATGTCGAATTAGTACGTTACCTTCAGGTCGACGTACGTTCTGTGATCGGCATTGTCAAAAGCACGCATCTTCACGTCGCGCCACCTGCATTCAAAAATGTGTCAAATGCGCATTGATTTTTAAAGGTGTGACACCAATTTTGGGCATTTTAGTAATTTTCCATACCTTCCAGTTCCAAGTTGTTCGACCGCTCCAACTAATGCTTCGACTTCAGCAACAGAGAAGGGCCTTCTTGTCCTACGCTGTGACAACTCAGAACGTGACCTTTTCTGGTTCAAGGGAGCCACAGAGAGCACCTCGGCGTTCGCTTGTGGGACCGCAACCAGAGCTTTAGAGTCCGAACACTCCACGTTCGTTGTGGGACCCTCCAACAACGATGAAACGGGCTCAGGGTTACTTTCGTCACATTTGTCCGACTTCACCTCAGGAAATGGATTGGGTGGAATGGCTGAGAGTGCCAAATCCAAATTCGGGCCGTCCTGGTTTCTGGATATCAAACTAAGATGAGTTTGGGTCCCACAAGCAGGATCGGAGGGTAAAGTCGTAAAGATAATACAGAGTAATTAACTTCCAAATTACCCGTACAGTTCTTTTGCCGTAGCAGAGAGTAATGGAAGAGGGTGAGGATCTCTGGGAGACGAGGAAGAAACATGGCACAAGCTTGGCTCCAACATAAAACCCAAAGCATCAAGGTCGCCGTTTTGAGAAATGCCAGCTTGCTGTAGAGTCCTACCATCATCTCTGACCTTCTTCCCATGAAGAACCACCCCAACCCGTAAACTGCTGCCCAGAATAGTGGTCACGGCATCCATCACTGTTTTCTGAAGAAAATGTCATATCCATATTCAAACGATGATCATGACATGGAAATTTTACTGCTTTAATTTTCTTCATATTAAAAAAAAGTGGGAATCTAATGGCAACACAATTGTTGAGAACATCACAGATTTGGAGAAGTTATTAGGGCTCAAGGGAATTAGCGTGCGTGTTCGGCAACAACTTGAGTGTTATAGCTTTAGTGATTAGAAAAAACTACAGTATCTAGTAGGGTTTACAAAGCTAATCTGCACCATTGAAAAAATTAGTCTAAAACGCTAACGGAAAACGTTGTTCCCAAACGAGGCCTTAATTGACAATTTCCCAAATAATTGAAAAACTTAATGATTTCAAATTGACAACAATGCACTGCATTGCAGATCAAGGAAAATTTGAGGGACAAAAAAGTAAATCCGATAGGCGTCAACGAAATCATGTCATACCTTTAAGGAACCCACAGTTGCACTTTCAGGGACCTCAATATAAAGCTCCGGCACCCTAAATGACTTGATGCTGAACTTCACTGTACGACCAACGAGGAAAAAAAATCATAAAAGAAAACCAAATGTAATTACTGATCGGAATATTTTGAGCAACAAATATTACCGTTGGAGTCCTTACAATTCTGAAGACCTTTAACCGAATTTGCAGTCCCACTTCCTGCAAAATTTAACTATAATAACTTAGCATAACCGCGTACTACCTGCAAAAAAAAAAAATCACAATTGACAGTACAGGAGAGGGACCTCTGTGGGTGATCACAGCTGATCCAAAATCATTTACACTGCCGATTTGCTTCCCTGGCATATTAGTAATGCTTTCACTACTGGCCTCTTGATCATAGGTAATAGCAAAGCTACGGCTACACAATTTCCTTCGCTTGGGAGGATAGTCAGCACGGCATCTTTCTCGCACATAACTGCTTTTACCATTGCCATATTGCACCTTCACCCCCTTGCCTTAAATAGCAAACACAAAATTTTCAGTGACTTGCAGACTAAATTCACACGGCTTTGAAAGTGATAGGTCTAAACTTCAAAACAAGTCTAAAAAATTGGAGAAAAAATGTGTTACCTAAAGGGTGTAGAAGCTCAATGAAAATTGTACAACACAATCTAAAAGCATAGTAGTTTATATACAGTCCACTTACGGCGATCAGGGAATTCACATTCTTTCAACTTGGGAGCAACCTGCCAGCGTCTAGATGATGTCAGCAACTTCCGTGTTTTTCTATACCCGATGCGGGCCCGCTGTCTTAAGGCCCTTATCTTGTTGGTGCTACTGCGTTTATAGCACCTGAACAAATTTTCGCCATCATCCCTAATACCTAACTTTACATCATTCCTATGCTTTGCAAAAGAAGCACTAAGGACACTGTCCCTGTACAAGGGCATCTTTACACTATAATCTGAGTTATTGACGGTATTATTATTATTATTATTATTATTGGTATTATTATTAGTAGTGGTAGTAGTCAAGTAATTTTTTATAGGATCCTTTACACTGCAAGTGCTAGTTATAGTTATGTTTTCAGTTGGGCTGTTAATTTTCCTGCCTTCCACTTCAGATTTAACATTTCCGTCTGACTTGAAATTCTCAGGGCTCTCCAACTTTATGTGAGAAGAGACTTTCTCTGAGATGGAAATGTTCTCTGATAGTAAAGACCCGACATTTTCCATTGGCACGTTCTTGATTATCTGCTCTTGAAATGCACCCTTGGGCAAAAAGGTGCTTTCCACACAGCTTCCTTGATCAAGGCACTCTGACTTCAAAGCTTTGTGGTCCGTTTGGGACCCTGAAAATACTGGGGGACAGAAAATACGAACAGAAACATAGTGAAAATTAGAATGAAAGAAAATGTAGAATTACATTAAGACAAAGAAATCTAAATACGTGCATTAAGAAGACTAATCATATGGCATCTTCCTTGGCATTTTCCAAGGTGAAGCCTCACATGAGAACATGAATTGCTTGAGCATTTTATTTCCCTTTCCCTAGCATTATCCGGAATCCAAACATACCCTTATGGTCTTTATAATTTTGCTCTTCAGTTCTTCCATCACCATGCATTGCAAGTCCATCTTTCCCCTCCCCAGCATTACTGGAAGCAGAGCTTTCACTCTCTAGTAAGAGTTTCCCAGCAACAGCCGCCAACAGCTCAAATGCACAGATTTGATTATCGTCCACACTAGGGGTATACCTTCTCTGAATTACAAAAAAATCCAATAAATATTCAAGAAATTGTATAAGCACATTAAGGGTACATTTGGAAAATGCTTGGCAAAAGAATAGAGGGAAACACATGGTAAATTTAAGGGAAAACACAAGGTAAAATTGTGAGGAAAGCAAACTTAGAAAAAATGGCTCACCCAGTCACACTCAATTAAATCAAATCTTCATTTTATGTGTTTATTTTGATAAAAATATAGAAATATAAATATATGTAAAATTTTGAAATTAATATAGAGTAATACATTTTGATTGTTCTTCATATTTTCCAATGTAAAACCGTCAAAATTAAAATATTTATATGTATTTTCCTTAGCATTCTTTTTCTTTCCCCTACCACTTCCTAAGTTCCAAACATACACTGTGAAAGATACATGAGGTTTAAATGTTTAATAGCTTACAAGATAAAGTTACTGTGATTTTGAAGGTTACAAATTAATGCATAACCACACTTACTCTTGATGATCTAGGCGCTCGAGGTACAACAGGAAACCGGTATCCATTTGAACCATACTCCAACCTCTTTTTCATCACCATATCTGAAACACCATACCACTTTCAGGATGATCCACTGCAATATATATGTCTGCAACAAAAAAAAACCAATTCAACAAGCCGGATACAGTTAAGATCATTGCTGCAAAAACCCCCACCTAAATCCTGCCTGTTTTTATGACATTGTTTAAGATAGATCTGATCAATAAAAGAAACCTCTAATATGGAAGCAAAAACACAACCACACAAAAGAAAAACATTAAATGTTTTGCCTAACTAATAAGCTCTCTTTAAAACAAAACCATAAAAAGAAAAACAAAGACAGAATATTCCTGGGCCAATTCCAAAAGCATCACCTCATACAAAAGCATGTAAGCAAGACAACTAAACAGAATCATAGACAGCAACGAGAAACCACCCACTTTCCCAACTCATGCAAGAACACTAATGAATTTCTGTTCCATAACAAGGAATATATAACCATTCATGCAAAGAGAAGCCAAGATCTTAGCAAATTCCCAGGCAAAAACCTCAAGTTTAATTTGGATGAGATCAGATCGGACTGCAAGAAGCCCAGAACAGAAAATTAAACTCTGCAGTTTCCAAAAATATAAAAAAAATCAATTGAACTCCAAAACACCAACCCAAAACCAAACATGATTGGAAATTACGCGCATCATTCAATGAGAAGAACCCAGAATTAATTTTCACTGAAAAAGGAAAATAGAATCTGATCCAAATTCCTACCCGATTATTCTACGTGTAGAGCTTACGTAACAGACTTTTGCACGCAACCCGAACAAAAGAAACAAAACCCCAAATTGGGCAACTCCGATCGGATCTCCGGATCCGATCCACCGCTATTCCAACCCAAATCCCACCCCCCAAAACGCAGATCGCGTCAAAAACACCAAAATTGTGGGGGGAAATCAGAATTACCTTACGAGAAGAAATATTTAGTTTTCTTTTTTCTGCACAGGTTTTTGAAATGAACAATCGGAGCACAATCCTTACAAGAAAAAGCTTCAATCTTTCTTTTTGCGTTTGTGAATTTTCGTTTCGATGCTTGAAATAAGAATGGGTGATTTGTTTCCCACGTGAAATAAAAAAACGGTGAAATGAAGGGAAAAAACCTCTGGGTTTGGAAAACCAGCCAAAGGGAAAAAACAGCGCTAAAACCCCTTTCTCTCTCTAAGTTCTCTCTCTTCTCCCACTCACACACGTACGAAAATGGTGGGTTCGACGGGTTTTATACAGAAAGACTGCGCGGACCGCAGTGGTTTCTTGATCTGTTCTTCGTAGTTATGGATAATTTCCGTTGATCACACGATTAGGGACGAACCTGATCTCGGTTGGACCGGACCGCAGCGGAAAAATCGGTTCTTTATTTTCTTGGTGAATTTGTTGATTTTGAATTATAAAGACAAAATGAACAAATACTCTATACCATGGATCCACCCAAAAAAAGTACAAACCATTATCATGAGACATGGGAAGTACTCATTTCAAACCTAAAAAATTGTCACAATTTATTTTATGGTTAAAGGGTGTCATAGTTTGACCAAAAATTCAAACTATGACATTTTTTTTAGTGATGAAGAGAGTATATTTTTATTATTGGCTCGGTTAAAACAATATCCATTTTGGGTGTCATAGTATGACATTCAATCAATTGAGATTTGTGTGATATTTTATTTAAAAAATTGATAGTTCTTATCTTTTCTATTGCAAATCAGCAAACATGAAGTGTAGAGATGGGGGCAGAGGAAGGGAAGGGGGTCGCAATCTAGTAAAGATAGAAACTATCAATTTTTAAACAAAGTAGCACATGAGGCCGGTGTCATAATATGACACCAAAAGTTTGTATCATTTTTTAAAAACAGAGAACTCATTAAGCTTGCACAAGAGCGGAATTAGAACATGGAGGAAGACCTTCCCACACTCCAACGAGTGACACAGGCTCTCGATCTAGCAAGGATGTGAGCCACAACATTTGAAGTACGGTGAATAAAAAAGGAAAACATAACATTATTAAAATCGACTCGAAGAGTCTTATAATCAGCAATAATTGAGCTAAAATAGGAAAACATAACATTGTTATCAGCTTGCTAAAGTGCAATCACCACCTGTTCATTGATGGAAAAAATTCTCACCGACACAATACCTATACACTTTTAACCATGAAATAGCGTGACGACATCTCATAGCTTCCACATATCTCCAAAGGAAAATATTAAAATCGACTCTAAAGGAAAATTAAGAAGCTTTGTATAGGATGCCACATATCTCCCACCCCTTTTGAGCTCAAGGCTTTTTTGATTCTTTATTTTATTCGATAGATTAAACTACTTTGGTAGATTAATTGTTTGATGACACCAATTTTGACATCATTCTTCTAATGAGTGTTTACAAACACAAAACAATATGGGTATGTGTAAATATCTTTTAGGAGATGGCATCAATATTGAGGCACGCCTAGCATTATTCATTATGAATTAAGGTTTTTATTTCACAAGGGTTTTGCCGTTTTAACTCATTTTTAGAAAATGGTTTTTATTGATTTTACTCATCTTCAGAGAAAGGTTTAATAAATTTAGATGATTTTTTGGAAAAAAGATACTCCCTCCGTCCCTAAAAGATTACCATAGTTTGACTTTTTTGGTCAAACTGTGGCACTCTTTGGTCACCAATTATGGAAAAAGTATGTTTAGTTATAATGTAAATTTAGTAAAAGTTGATTTATTTTAAAATATAGTTTTGAAATATCAAATTTTTTAATATTTAATTATTTTAAATTAATAATTAATTGATGATCAAATGTATTATATTTTGACTAAAAAAGTCAAACTGTGACAATCTTTTAGGGACGGAGAAAGTATATACCTTGTCTTATATATCTATGGGGTAAATTTCACCAATGGTACTTGAACTTTAGCTGGAATTTCAAAGTGGTACCTGAACTTCAAATCCTTTCACAAAAATCCCTGAACTTACACAATCCTTTCACTAATGAGTCATTAGCCTGTTTCTAGGTTAACTTCCGGTCATTAGGGCCAAATTCGAATTTTATATATTTTAAAATTTTCAATTTGACCCCATTTCTTCTTTTCTTTTCTTCCATGCCCCGCCGCCGCTGCCCGCCGGTCAAAGTCGCCTGAAAATGAACTTTTTCCGATTCCGGCGGGACCACTGTCATTCTCTTCGCCTTGAGACGAGGATCAATAATATCCAAACCATTTTGTCTAATTTTGCCTGTAACTTCTCGAATCTGAATTTTTCTACTCGAAAAAACCCTAAAATCGAAATTGGATCCAAAATGGGGGGTTTTGCAAATCGTCATCAAATCTTGCAATTGAGGGGTCCTTGGAGGTCGCCCGGATGCCACGACCGCATTGGAGTTGGTGCCCGCCGTCAATTTCGCCGGAGTTGGCCGAAAAACGCTCCGACCCGCCGCCGGTTTCCGGCGGGTCGGAGCGTTTTCCGGCCAACTCCGGCGAAATTGACGGCGGGCACCAACTCCAATGCGGTCGTGGCATCCGGGCGACCTCCAAGGATCCTTCAATTGCAAGATTTGATGACGATTTGCAAAACTCCTAATTTTAGACCCAATTTCGAATTTTAGGGTTTTTTCGATTAGAAAAATTCATATTCGAGAAGTTACAGGACAAATTAGACAAAATGGTTTGGATATTATTGATCCTCGTCTCAAGACGAAGAGAATGACATTGGTCCCGCCGGAATCGAAAAAAGTTCATTTTCCGGCGACTTTGACCGGCAGGCGGCGGCGGCGGCGGGGCCTGGAAGAAAAGAAAAAAAGAAATGGGGTCAAATTGAAAATTTTAAAATATATAAAATTCGAATTTGGCCCTAATGACCGGAAGTTAACCTAGAAATGGGCTAATGGCTCATTAGTGAAAGGATTGTGTAAGTTCAGGGATTTTTGTGAAAGGATTTGAAGTTCAGGTACCACTTCGAAATTCCAGCTAAAGTTCAGGTACCATTGGTGAAATTTACCCTATATCTATGTGTATTGTTTGTTAAAGAACATACACAAATGAATATTAGCCCACTTTTAAAGAGAAGATCAGAGACGTACTTAATAATTGTGTCAAAAGTACGCTGAGGTGCATATTCATATTTTTACATTTACAATTTCTGGTGGTGAATAATTCTATTAAATTCAAAGGCTTGATGATTTTTTTTCATGCCGTATTTCTTATTGGACGTGCTTGCTCGTATTGTGGATTAAGTATGAATGACATATTTTGACAGTGCCATACACATTTAATTAATTAGATGTTGTAAGATTTTCAAGATTATTCGCAAGCCAAGAATCAAGACTGAAGACTTTCAAGACTTCTTAATTAGATTGTATAAAATGTTTTTAAAGCCAAAATATATTTTTGAGAATCAAAATTGGAATAAAGAAACAATATTTGCTAGTGTTACAAGCATTTATTAAACTTGGACATTTATTCAAATTCTTCTTTCTTTTCAAACTGTGTCATTTATCTTTGTCCATTCATAGAAACTTAACTACGATCCCAACATGTTTTTAGTGATGATCTTTGACTTTAACTTTACTGCTGGTGGTTCATTGCCTTTCGCCAAAGAATTGAAGCTAACCATAAACGTTATGCACACATATATACAATATACCCTTTCCATAGTTTGGCACTAAAGTTTGACTAATTTCATTTTCAATTTAATTTATTTAGTTGTAGGTATAAAATTTAAATATAAAATTTAAATTGTAAATATGTATATGAAAAGTTCTATAAAACACGAGTTGATAAGACTATATTATTTTATAAAACGAGTAGTAAAAATAAGCAAATAAAGTGAATTAAATTTGATCATGTGAATAACGTTTAGAAAGATCTATGAGAAACAAATGGAGTATTATCTATTTTACAAATATGCACAGACAATGACCATTTGAGCAATCCCGATAATAACTATTTGAGCATGGATGATGACAATAAAATACATGATATCAAATTTCGTAATAAACTGAGAACTTGTAAGTGTATTTATAAATTGTTGAACAAAATTGAATTCAACTAAAAATAAGTTTTATAAAGGCCTTGTAAATTACTCCTTATTTAATTACCTCCTCGTTTGACTAAAAAAATTTTATTCTCATTTTATTTTTCCTAAATTTCGTGAAAATAAAAGCGATAATTTTTCTTTTGAATGGGGAGATACATGATCGAGATGATAAAGCAACATGTGGCCACTTTTATTGGCCTTTTGATACTTTTTTCGTCCTAAAAAATTTTTCGAGTTTGAATTTTAGTCAAATTTTATAAATTTTGACAATGAATTATAAAAAATGTATACTCTGCTATAATATAAATTTAATATCACTAAATTTATTTTGAAAATGTACTCTGTAGTTTTGATATTTCAAAATTTTCTACTCCATAACATTTAATGTTCAAAATAAGAAATCTTCCTCGATATATGAAAATCTTCGTGAGTAAAAATATATGAAAATATCAAAATAGGAGTCGTAAGTCCTTTAAGACCAAAATAGAAGTATAATGACAGCGTGGTGTAAGAATACACGTTAGTACTGTGATAAGAAAGTACGTGATGACATCATAATATATTACTGTGATCAGTCAATCGTCGATGATACGGACGGTACTCTAGTAGCAGGAGGCGACGATGACAGTGTGACAATTACAATGTGACAATGTGGTAAGTGTGCAGTACAACAATGGTAGTGTGATTTCAAATTTTAGTCTTAAAAAACTTATAAGTTATAACTCCTATTTTGATATTTTCATAGTTTTTTACGCTATCTAGAAAGTTTTCCCTTTCAAAATTATGCGTCTAAATGATTAATCGTTTCTTGGTATAAAAATAGAAATATCAAAATTACGTCTTAAAACAAATTCAATTATATTAAATTTATATTATATTACGTAATTAAGTAAACTCCATACTTTTTTTCATAATTTGTAGTCTAAAAATATCACAGTATATTCATTTTAACAAAACTCAAACTACAACTAACAATCATTCTGGCATAGGAGTATTCTCTACTCCATATTATTTACTCTACTCTCTATTTACTCTTTAGAGTATTTTGATGATTTTTTTTGAATGTGCATTTTCTTTGATTATTTAATAAAATAAAATGTCATATCACCATATTTTACAGTATAAGATTTTTAATGTAGTTAGAAATATGTAAGTTATATTTTCACTTCAATATCATTTTGTAAATAAAATTAGTTTTTTTAAAAAATAGAATTTT